TGTTTGAAAGAAAATGTAGTACGTGTAAATTGGAAAAGTCCAGTAATACTTTGTTCATGAGCATTTACACAATGCAGTTACTGTTCACCATGGGAGTACTGTGGACAAGCCCAAGACCGCTGGTCAATTGTGCCATTTTTATATGTTTTTCCTTGTAAGGTGCTTTGTAATGTCTGTCTAAATATTAGAAACATTATTTGTTTCTACATTACTCCAAAGCTAAGAAAATGTATTTCTTTAATCTGTTCTGTTACATGCGGTACTTGGTGGAGTGTGGTGGCTCATGCCTGTAATTCCAGCATTTTGGGAGGCTGAGGTAGGCAGATCACCTGAGGTCGGGAGTTTGAGACCAGCCTGACCAACATGGAGAAACCTTGTCTCTACTAAAACTACAAAATTAGCCAGGTGTGGTGGTGCATGCCTGTAATCTTAGCTACTCCGGCGGCTGAGGCAGGAGAATCACTTCAACCCAGGAGGTGAAGGTTGTAGTGAGCCGAGATCCTGCCATTGCACTCCAACCTGGGCAACAAGAGCAAAACTCTTTCTCAAAAAAAAAAAAAAAAAAAAAAAAAAAATGGTATTTACCAAGATGCCCTGCTGTCTCTACTTTTATCTTGATGCATCACTGAGTTAATGTTAGATTTCAAATTCTTCTTTACCCTTACATTATCCTGTCCTGAAGCTACCTTTATATCATAATGAAAGAAGTTAGCAATTTGTTACTATCATTTATTTGTTGGCATATATCAAATGTTTACCTAAAAATAGCAACAGCCAGTAGAAACATTATGTATCTTGCTGTTTCTATTTGGATGACTATTTACTTTGCAACATTACTAGCAAGCTATAAAATTGTATAGTATGCAGAATTTTAACAAAATTGCTTTAAGTGAACATTTAAACATGATAAGCCATATTGAAGTTATTTATGTTAATATACTTGAACATTTTGTCTTCAATATGAATAATATAACCTACCTTTCAATGAAAATGAAAACCTAGAATTAGAGTAAATTTGCTAATGAATTCAATAACTTTTCCACAATATTTTTAGTTATGTGCTTAAGGATCTCTTAGTGTTTCTTGCACTTTATAATAGCTTAAGCCTTTTTTCCTGGTTTTTGTAGGTTCTTTGTTTGTTTGTTTGTTTGTTTGTTTGTTTTGAGACAGAGTTCAGTTCTGTCACCAGGCTGGAGTGCAGTGGCGCAGTGTCGGCTCACTGCAACCTCCACCTCCCAGGATCAAGTGACTCTCCTGCCTCAGCTTCCTGAGTAGCTGGGACCACAGGTGTGTGCCACCACACCCAGGTAATTTTTGGAATTTTAGCAGAGACAGGGTTTCATCATGTCAGCCAGGATGGTCTTGATTTCTTGACCTTGATTTCTTGCCTTGGCCTTTAAAAGTGCTGGGATTACAAGCATGAGCTACCACATCTGGCCTTTGTGGGTGCATTTTAAAGGAAAAAAAAAGTCGTAACATGTGCTATCGGGAAGCGTGGACATTGAGGATTTATTTACATATTTATTGCAAAGACCTGGATCTTAGGAATTGAATTGAATATTTTTTTAAACAAATTATTTTCTTAATCTTATCTAAAAGCATAGGCTTTGGGGACACAGCGGGGCCACATCTCTTATCCTGTCTAAGCCTTAGTATCATCCTCTTCTGTGGTTATGAGAACTGAAGACCTATCTCCAAGATCTGATAAGATAGTAAAGGGCTTGACATAATGCCTGGCATATAAATACATAATAAATGTTTCCTTCTTGCGTCTTTATTTGTTTGTTTGTTTTTTCAGACAGAATTTTGCTCTGAAACCTAAGCTTGAGTGCAGGGGCATGAACTCGGCTCACTGCAACTTCTGCCTCCTAGGTTCAAGTAATTCTGCTGCCTAAGCCTCCCAGGAAGCTGGGATTATAGGCAGGTACTACCACACCCAGCTAATTTTTGTGTTTTTAGTAGAGACAGCGTTTCACTATGTTGGCCAGGCTGGTCTTGAACTCCTGACCTCAAGTGATTTACCTGCCTCAGTCTGCCAAAGTGCTGGGATTACAGGCATGAGCCACCACACTCGGCATATGTTTTTATTATGTTATTAAATTAGTACTATTCTGAGTAAAAATAACTAGCTATTACTGTTTTATAAATTGACTAAGACAGTCTTATAAATGTCAGTGCTTTTTATAAGGTGAAACAGATTATGTTGTGGGGCTTTTGTTTTGATGGTAATTTATTAGACTTTTTTTTTTAAGACAATAATGTTCAGTTACTGGGAAATTATCAAAACAATATTCACATTTTGTAATTTCAAAGCAGTCTTAAAGGTGATTGCCTTAAGGAAAGATACTTTTGTTTTGATATATAAGTGTGATATTCAAGTTTAGTGTACAGCAGAGGACATTAAACCTAAGTCAGCACTAATGTGCACTTGAAACTTTAGTGCAAATACCAATGTGTAGCAAATAGACTTTAACATATAATGATTGCCAAAAAATGGAGCTATTCTGACGGGAGGCCATTGGTTATGTTTGATTTTAATACTTCCCATGCTCTTGACTTTTATTTTTCTTTGTTACCTAGGCTGGAGGGCAGTGGCACAATCAGCTCACACAACCTCCTCCTCTCAGATTCCGGCCATCCTCCCTAGGGACTAGAGGTGAGTGCCACCACACCTGGCTAATTTTTGTATTTTGAGTAGAGATGGGGTCTCCAGCTTCTGACCTAAAGTGATCCACCTACCGCGGCCTCCCAAAGTGCTGAGGTTACATGTGTGAGCCACTGTTTCTGGCTAGCTCTTGATTTTTGGTAGCTGTTGTATTATTTTAACCTTTAGTAAATAAATGCTAGCTGAAATGTATAGTTCAGAAGAATCTTCTGCTTCTGTTATTTAAAAAATATATATTTTTAAGTCCAATAATGTTACACTGATGTTTGTTTTAAAATTATTACCTCTTCTATTTAGTACAGTATGTATTAAATAATATTAGCTAGTATGTTTTTCTCGCTTTATAATGTGGTTCAGATTTGTATAAAAAGTTTAGCTGTTTCTATATTGCCTTAAAGTCATGAAACATTATTCTTCTTTTCTTCTTTTTCTTTCTTTCTTTCTTTCTTTACTTCTTTCTTTCTTCTTTGTTCTTTCCTTCCTCCCCCCTCCCTCCCTCCCTTCCTTCTTTCTTTCTTTCTTTATTTCTTTATTTTCTTTTTGAACTGGAGTTTCTCTCTTGTTGCCCATGCACTAGCATGATCTCAGCTCACTGCTTAGAAGCTGATTCACTCAGAGAAGGTGAACCCACTGTTAGTAAAATATGTCTAGTATCAGATGTGTTTTGATCTCCTAATGACCTATCAAACTGCAGGTCTTTTGACTTTGGAATATATTCAGTTCCACATTTATTCATTTAAGAATTGAAGATTTTTTATATCCCCATTATGTGCCAAGCACTGGGTGGGACACTAGGTAACAGAGATGAACAAACCCTGTTCGCAGGATTTCACAGTGGATGTTAGAATTTAGTGCCATTTAGCTTCATTTGATTCCGCAGTAGTTCCAAGATTTTCCAAGATGATCCTGTCTTAAGTGTCTTGTTGATTCAACTTCAGAATCAGTCTCTCTTCACACCTTACTGCTGCCACTCTGCCATCATCTCTTACCTGGATTATCTCAGTAGTCTTCTAACTGTCTTTTTTTGTTTCCATGTTTGCCTTCTTCAGTTTATTCTCTTTCTCTCTCCTTTTTTTCAGACAGAGTCTTGCTTTGTCACCAAGGCTGGAGTGCAATGCCATGACCCAGGCTCACTGTAACTTCTACCTCCTGAGTTCCAGCAACTCTCCTGCCTCAGCCTTCCTAGTAGCTGGGATAACAGGCATGAGCCATCATGTCCGGCTAATTTTTTGCATTTTTAGTAGAGACAGGGTTTCATCATGTTGGCCAGGCTGGTCTTGACCTCTTGTCCTCAAGTGATTCACCTGCCTTGGCCTCCCAAAGTGTTGGGATTACAGGAGTGAGCCACCGTGCCTGGCCACTCTACTCTCAATACAACAGCTAGTACAATCCGTTCACAGTGGAATTAAGATCATAATTACCTCTCTGTTCAAACTCTCCAGTGGCTTTTTTTCATTCATGACCTGGCCCCTGCCACCTGTCTCACTGTTCTTCCTGCTACTCTCCTGTTCTTACTCCTCTTTATAAACACTGAGCTCATGTCGTTTCCTTTGGCACGCTAGGCAGGTTGATCCTGTCCTATCTCTTGGCCTTGCTGTTTCCTCTGCCTGGAACATTCTTCCCCTACTGTCTGCATGGCTCACTCTCTCACTGCTTTGGATTGTGGTTCAAAAGTCACTTTATCAAGGGCCTCCAGGCTGCTCTGAGACTTTGATCACTACCTGCAGAGGTCTGTCCTGGACCTTGTCTTAGCAACGAATGAATGAAATACTCTCTTACCTACAGAATACAGTGCAAGAGTCAGGCTAAGGGGTCCTCAGTTGCTTTTAGAGGGTGATTGCAGCTAATTGACTACAACTCACTGTTCCTTTTTGCATTTATTCAGTATAGATTTAATAACAGGTTTTAAGTCAACATGCTTGTAAATAATTAACATGGAAAAAAGAGTGGATTTACGAATCATAAAAACCTTTGGTTCTGAGGCCCAGAATAAACACCATTAACTAGTAATTCTTTTTCAACCTCCCCCGAGAGGGCCATCTAGCACAAAGTTCATATGAGTAAACAGAGTAGAGACAAAGGAATGTGAGGTAAACAGATTTAACTGGGGAAGCTTTTATTATCTTATGTTTAAGTCACCTTGTAACTTAAAGCTCTAAGGTAAGGACTGGCTGTCTTCAACTCGGCTCATTAAAACTCTGAGCTTTTATTATCTTATGTTTAAGTCACCTTGTGTTCCCCCCTGGCTTAGACAGTTCATGGGCTTTCAGATTTGACAATTTTCTCACCAGTCTCTAAAAAGGAGCTTTTATCTGCACATTATAGGTGAGCATAGATGAATGATGACCCTACAATGTGTGGGAAAATCCCAAAGGTTGACCACTGTGAATGGGAACTACCCCAGATGTGTCAGGAGCACCACAGGCATGCTCACTTCTTCCCTGGCTGGAGCTGGGTAAGATGGAAAGGAAACCCAAATCAAGACACTTTGCTGCTTCAGTTCTTTTATTGCATGTCACAGTCCAATGTGTCTCCATTTAAAGTCAGATTTTTTGTTGAATGGTCACACCAGCTGCAGGCCCTTGGGTCAGAAGTCTTGATATCACCAATTGTTCATTTTCTTGATGGACTTCCATACTTCAGGCATTTGTGTGTAGCTGGTCAATTGTGAAGTTTTCAGAGTGGTGTAGAACCCTCTCTTTTTGGGACAGTTGGTTCTCCTTGTGCAGCATGTCCTGAAGCTGGCCTGTCTCCATCCTCTTTCTAAGTGTGTAAGGTCTCTTGTTAGGCAGCATAAAGTGAGAGAGGACTCCTAAAGAGGGAGAAAAACTCCTCCAACATTTGCTGAAACATGTTTGTAAACTGACCAAGATGTAATTGGAATGGCATAAAAAGACTAAAATTTAATTTCTTGCCATCTGGCTTGTGATATATGGTGCCTTCAATTGAGTTTAGAAGGAACGTTGGCCATAGGTCAAGAGGTGAGATTGTGTGTGTGTGTGTGTGTGTGTGTGTGTGTGTGTGTGTGTGTAGAAAGAGAGAGAGAGAGAGAGAGGGAGAGAGGGAGAGAGAGAGAGAGATGGAGTTTTTCTCTATTGCCCAATCTGAAGTGTAGTGGTGCAATCTCAGCTCACTGCAACCTTGGTTTTTCAGGTTCAAGTGATTCTCCTGCCTCAGCCTCCCAAGTAGCTGGGATCACAGGCATGCACCACCACATCTGGCTAATTTATGTATTTTTAGTAGATACCGGGTTTCATCAAGTTGGTCAGGCTGGTCTCGAACTCCTGACCTCATGTGACCCACCCACCTTGGCCTCCCAAAGTGCTGGGATTATAGGTGTGAGCCACCACACCTGGTCGGATAATTGAGTTTCTTATTATATCTGGGTTTCTGCAGAATTTTAGTGACTAAAGAATGTACACTAGTGTTCATTTTGTTTTTCTTTATGAAAGAAGTAATTTACTTTTTATATAATTACTTGCCAGTCATGGGAAGGAAAAGTCTGAGTTTTTGTCCACAATGATAGGAATTATTGTTACATTACAGGATGACTCTGTGAATGCCTTTAGGAAAAATCCCTAGTCATATCTTGACCATTTTCCTAGCTGTGAGACTGCCATTATACTGGTTACTGTAACATTTCCTGGTTTTCTTTCTAGACCTGAACTAGTTATTTGCTACTTCCCTCCTGGAATGGCTAGTAAAATAAACACTAAAGGTAAGAGATTACATGTACTTATTATATTTTACTACATTATGACATTCTTTATCAGCATTCCTGAAATCATACAGAATCATTGCCCAGTGTCTTTGTGGGACTTGCAGTTAGTTTCTTGGCTTTTTAAAGTATTTTATTTAATGGACCTTTTTTTCTTTTTCTTTCTTTTTCTTTTAATTTACTGAAAGTGTCACATGTGCAATTCCACTTCATTTATGTTTCCAAGGCTTTGTTGAGCCCCTTGTGGAGGATTACACTACAAGTTTAATTCTGCAGGTTTCTTTGAAAATCGACAAATGGTATGAGTTTTATATTCTGCTCTTATAAAGCATCTTCTTCTGTATTTTTCTACAATATACTAAAGTAATTCTGTGCTTATTTTACAGCTTTGCAGCCCCCTAAAAGACCATGAAGCCCTGAGAGTAATGTAAAGATTCCTGAAATTGAGATCACCATGGAAAATAAGGGCCAGTCTTTGGCATGTTTCTGTTGATTCTCCAGTTTATTAGTTATGTCAGTTCACTAGCTATATATTTATACAGATGAAGTTAACCAAGCTAATTTCACATGTGCACAGCTGCCTGTGATAAAGCTAAATTTCTGGATGTTTTTAATTGACATCTTGAAAATCATGAACAGGAAATAAATAACATGAATCACCTTACAAGCTGCACTCAAAAAAATCCCTAAAATGTTTTTTCTTTATTACAACAAATAAGGATGCAGAGGGTCACGTGGAATGTTTCTTCATCTTTTGTCCACTTTGTTTTTTCTGTTCTTTTAAGGAAATAAAGTTTAGGGATAGTTTAAACAGCAGTGCCTGAAATGAAAGCATTTCCTCCAACACCCTCTAATATATTTCCTTCTCTCCATGCTTATGGGGTCTGCTCATAAGAGGGAGACATGACAGGAGCTCCCTGTCATGTCTCCATCCAAGCAGGACATATAGAAGTAAAGAAAATGCAGTGTGAGCCCTGCCTGCAGCCATGGTCAAGAAAAGGAAGAGGCTTTTTTTTTTTTTAATCCTAGCAGAATTTTGCATAAGTCTCTTGGTTTTAAAAAAGATGAATTTATCATAATAAAATAAAGCACAAACTCTGAGGCCAAAGTGATGGAATTTAAATCTGCATTCTGCCACTTAGGAAAATTCTTTGAGTTCTCTGTCCTTTAGGTTGCACACCTGTAAAATGAGAAAAGGAAAATAATATTTGACTCATGGTTTTCAAAAATCGAGATGTTAAATGCTGGGTGCAGTGCTTATAATTAAAATCTCATACTTATAATTCCAGCACTTTGGGAGGCTGAGGAGGGTGGATCATGAAGTCAAGAGATCTACATCCTCCTGACCAACATGGCAAAAGCCTAACTCTACCTAAAATAAAAAATTAGCTGGGCATGGTGGCACGTGCCTGTAATCCCAGCTACTCAGGAGGCTGAGGTAGAAGAATCACTTGAACCTGGGAGGTGGAGGTTGCAATGAGTCAAAATCACACCACTGCACTCCAGCCTGGGTGACGGAGCAAGACTCCATCTGAAAAACAAACAAAAAAATTGAGATGTTATTTCTTTTGTTTTTTCTTTTTTCTGAGATGGAGTTTCACTCTTGTTGCCTAGGCTGGAGTGCAGTGGTGCTATGCTGGCTCACTGCAAGCCCCACGTCCCGAGTTCAAGAGATTCACTACCTCCACCTCCCAAGTAGCTGGGATTACAGGCATGCACCATCAAACCCAGCTAATTTTTGTATTTTTAGTAGAGATGAGGTTTTACCATGTTGTCTAGGCTGGTCTCAAACTCCTGCCCTCTGGTGATTTGCCCGCCTTGGAATCCCAAAGTGCTGGGATTACAGGCATGAGCCACTTCACCTGGCTGAGATGTTATTTCTTTAATAAACAGCTGCTGTCATTTCAGACCACTTGATATTTAGGCGCTTAAGAATTTTTCACTAGAAGGCATGTAAAGAAAGATGATGAGCATTTGTAAAGGATTTAGGATTTATCATTTGACTGCATGACTGACCCCTAGAGCTGGCATTTTAGTAAGAAATTTTTCTGAAGCCAATTAATTAGCTAGCAACTGAGGCAAACCAGCCACTACCCTCACCATTCAGTGCTCTTTTTTCCTCTGTTTCTCCTCAAACTTGGTTACTCTCGCAAATCAATTTTAAAAACTTGCATTTCTTTCCTTTTCTTTTCAGAGACAGGGACTTGCTCTGTCACTCAGGCTGCATTGCAGTGGTGTGATATGGCTTGCTGCAGCTTCATTCTTCTGGGCTCAAGCAGTACTCCCATCTCCGCCTCTTAAGTAGCTAGGACTACAGACATACACCACCACACAGAGGTAAATTTTTTATCTATTGTTGTAGAGATGGGGTCATGCTATGTTGCCTAGGATGGTCTTGAACTACTGGAATCAAGTGTTTCTCCTGCCTCTGCCTCCCAAAGTGCTGGGATTATAGGCAGGTATGAGCCACCTATGCCTGGCCACCAATATATATATATGTATTTTTAAATAACACCTTTATTGAAATGCACTTCACATACCATACAATTTATTTATTAAAGTATGCAATTTGGTGGTTTTTAGAATATTCATGGAGCTGTGCACCTATTACCCCAATCAATTTTAGAAGCTTTTATTACTATATAGAGAAATCCACATTTCTTTACAACTAGCTTCTACTCCCCCTATAGCCTTATGCTCCCATAGGCAACCACTGATCTATATTCTGTCACTATAGAGTTGCCTAATCTGGACCTCTTATATAAACAGGATTGTGTAATGTGTGATCTTTTGTGGCTGACTTTTTTTTTTTTTTTCACTTTAGCACAATGTTTACAGAGTTCTTTCATGTCACAGCATGTGTCAGTATTTGATTTCTTCTATGGATGAATAATATTCCGTGGTAGAGACACACCACATTTTGTGTATCTATTTATCAGCCAACCTGCTGCCTCTCCTTCCCCAGATTGTCTTTCCACTTGGGACATGCCTCCTTTGGGATGTACTGAGTGGTGTTCCTGGCGGTGAGTCCGTTTTTCTGGGGCTCGCCCGTCAAGTCACTCCATTCCCTGGACCTCGGTTTTTCCAGCTGTAAAATGGGTGGGCCGTGGTGGTGATGGAGGCACTCACTGACTTGTTTGTAAAAAAAACAGGAGGCCCTGGGCTGGCTGGTTTTATGCCCTCGGTCTCGGAGCTGCCATCTGTGCAGTGGGCGTAGGAGGGCCTGGCAGGGCACAGGCTGAGGCGCCTTCTCCCATCCCAGCACTACATGCAGGCGCGGCTCTGCTGGAAGTGGACGCAGCTGCTGCGGCCCTCGGTCCAGTTCTTCCTGGTGGCCTTTGCCCTCTATGTGGGCTACACCTGCATGTCTGATCACTGGAGCGACGTCCTTGCTGGTCTCCTGCAGGGGGCGCTGGTGGCTGGCCTCACTGTGAGCTTCTGACCTTGACTCACCCCCTGTGCTGTCCAAAGACCACTCCCTGCCCAACCCTGGTCCTTCCCTGCACACTCTTGCCCCACGGAGTCCTCCGCTGTGACCCCTTCCTCCAACCCTGGTCCTTCCCTGAGACCCCTCCTTCCCCTGGTTTCTCCCCTGGGACCCGTACCCCAAACTCCAGTTCTTCCCTGGACCCCTCCTTCACCCCCAGATCCTTCCCTGGGATTCCTTCCCCCAATCCCAGTTCTTCCCTGGACTCCTCCGTTCTCTCCATTTCTCCCCTGGGACCTCTTCCCCCAACCCCAGTCCTTTCTAAATGCCTCCTTCCACACATTCCTCCCTGGGACCCCTTCCCCAAATGCTAGTCCATACCTGGGACCCCTCTTACCCCCAGTTCTCCTCTGAGACCCCTTCTCCCCAACCCCCATCCTTCCCTGGGACCCCTTTTTCCCCTCATTTCTCCACTGGGATCCCCCAACCCCAGTCCATCCCAGGACCCTTCCCCCCACCACATCCTCCCCTGGGACCCCTTCCCCCAGCCCGAGTTCTTCCCTGGACCCCTCCCTTCTCCCCATTTCTCCCCTGGGACCCTTTTCCCCAACCCCAGTCCATTCATGGAACCCCTCCTTCCCCCATTCCTCCCCGGGACCCCTTCCCTCAACCCCAATCCTTTCTGGGGGCCCCTCCCTTCCCCCCGTTTCTCCCCTGGGACCCCTGTCCCCAAATCCAGTCCTTCCCTGGACACCTTCTTCCCCCAGTTCCTTCCCTGGGTCTCCTGCCTGCACACCGCAGTCCTTCCCTGGGCCTGTCAGTGCCCCAGTGCTCTCCACTGGTCCTCCACTAAGAGGGCTCTCTTCCCCCTGACAGGCACTCTTCCTCTCATTGCCCACCTGGGGCCCTGTTCCTCCCCCTCCTGCCCATGCCCATGTCTCTGGTGCCTGCCCAGCCCCTGCCCAGTCTCACCTTCCTCCACTCTGCCAGGTCCACTACATCTCAGACTTCTTCAAAGCCCGACCCCCACAGCACTGCCTGAAGGAGGAGGAGCTGGAAAGGAAGCCCAGCCTGTCACTGACAGTGACCCTGGGCGAGGCTGACCACAACCACTATGGATACCCGCACTCCTCCTCCTGAGGCTGGATGAAGCCCAGGCAGGGAGTGGCTGTGAGTCCAGCTGAGGCCGGCCCCCCAGGTGGTCCCTCTGGCCCTGGGTAGGCACTGAGGGCCCCGGACAGGCTCCAGGAACCCTGGGCTGATGGGAACAGTGAGCAGGCTCTGCTGCCCCTGCCCTGCACTGGACAAGGGGTCTGGGGAGGCCTAGGTAGCCCTGAGCATTTGGAGGGGGACCTGTTCCCGTAGCTCCCCAATATCCCCATTCTTTTATGGGGTTAAGGAAGGGGCTGTTTTGTAAAATGTAATGTACATGTGGTTTTTAGTAAAATAGGGCATTGGTTTGACGAGTAGTTTCAGTGCCTCTGTTCCTTACAGCTGTTCTGGGGACGGTGTTCCTCCCGTCAGAGGGCTCCGCGGAGCTCAGGCGTCAGGCAGACTCACCCGCTGTGACAGTGGAGGGCAGCAGCCAAGCCCACCCCTTGTGTTTCTCCCTGCACGGCGCTGGGGTCCAGGGTCTGATGGGTCAGCACACCCCTCCCCTCTGCTCATGTCCACCCCATGCATCTGGAGGCCATGCTTCTGAAATGGGTAATCCAGGGGCTGGTTTCCCTGAAGTGATGGCAGAACACACAGAGCTTACTTTTTCAACAGGTGGGTAAAGGGTACATTTGTTTTTTTGTACAGGAGGTAACTTAAGTGTCTGCTGATGTTTTGTTTGCACCTGGAACCTCTCTTATTCCCTCACCCTGCAGGGTGTTCCTATCAGGCCTTAGCCTAGGGGAAGGGTGGTGTAGCCCTGGGGGCAAAAGTGCAGCCTGGAGCCCCACCCAAGGGGTTGGAATGGAGATCTGCCCTTGGCGGATGGGAAGGAAGGTGATGCAGACCCTGCGGAACTCCAGTTGAACGTCAGGGACTTGCCTCCCTGCAGGTGTCAGACGGGATCCTGGCCCGGAAAGTCACATTGAAGCCTCCCAGGTATCCTAGGGTGTCCCAGCAGGCAGTGACACCAGAGGACTAAGGAGGCTGTGTCTGGGCTCAGAATGTATCTCTGGCAGTGGGTGGGAGAGAGGTTCTCAGCCAGATCCCACGGGGAGAGCCACTGTGTCAGGGGCAAATGGGAATGACCCAGGTGCCCTGACAGCAGCTGACACCTCCGTCTCCTCCCAGGCGCAATGGTCTTGAAAGCCAGGACCACAGTGAGGGTTGAGCGCGACTCTGTGGGAGCAGCTGCAGTGCACAGGACTCCAGTGTGGTCTGCTGGGGTCAGGTGGCCTTGTTGGGACGAGCAGTGAAGACTGAGGAGCGGAAGAAGTTTGGAGTGAGGGAGAGGATGTGGCTAAGTCTGGCTGCTGGCCTCGGCTCGGGGAGTCTCAGTGCTTCAGAAAGAGCATGTGCACCCCACAGCTGTGAGAGCGGAGAGAAAGAAAGGGCTGCACTGACCAGCACCATCCCCAGAGGGTCCTCAGGAGCCAGGAGGGCCCAGCTTTGGGAGCCGGTGGCCTGTCTCCTTGTTTGGGTGCTGCCCAGCTGGCTACACACGCACTGCTCTGCATCTGTTGAGAAAAGCCGGGACGCAGGGCTTCGGGCTCGGAAATTCTCACACGTTCCCAGTACCAAGATGGCAGGCAGGGCAGCAGTTAGGACACATTTCTCCACCCACACCGAGCTCTGGGGAAGCCCTCATGCATAATCTTGGGTTTACACTTCCCACACCCTTATGGTTTCATGGGAAAAAAAACAGTATTTTCTCTCGTTGTACAAGGGGGATATTTTTTTTCTGTTGTTTCTCACAAGAAACTGAGATTCTTAGCCATGTAAATATCATTTCCCATGGCTGTGTCCTCATGGCCCGGCATTTCTCCCACCTTCTGAGGTTAATTGGTTTTTAAAGACCTCCTCCTGGCCGGGCACAGTGACTCACGCCTGTAATTCCAGCACAATGGGAGGCCGAGGCGGTTAGATCACAAGGTCAGGAGATTGAGACCATCCTGGCCAACATGATGAAACCCCGTCTCTACTAAAAATGCAAAGCTTAACCTGGCATGGTGGTGGACACCTGTAATCCCAGCTATTTGGGAGGCTGAGGCAGGAGAATTGCTCAAACCCAGGAGGCAGAGGTTGTAGCGAGCTGAGATTGTGCCACTCGTGTCAGCTACCATATGTTTTTCTGGTTTTGTAGGCAACCATACATACTTTGTTTTTTAGACACAGGGTCTCATTCTGTCACCCAGGCTGGAGTGCAGTGGTGCAGTTACTGCTCACTGCAGCCTCGACCACCCAGGCTCAAGTGATGCTCCTGCCTCAGCCTCCTGAGTAGCTGGGACTACAGCGCCCACCACCACACCCCACTTTCATGCTTACTTTTTTTTTATAGGTGCATACTGAAGTATTTAGGAGTGAAATTTTGTGAGATCTGCAAATTGCAATATTTCATATTATAAAAACATGAAGCAGACATCACAACATGTTAGTAACTGTTAAATCTGTTTTGTGTATGTGGGCATCATTATGCCACTCTCTGGACTGCATTTTGAAAAAATTTAAGTCGAAAAAGGAAAACTGTGCCTGAGGAAATTTCCTTAAGTTCAAAATGTCGTTACCTTTACTTTTAGTGAGACAATATTTCTTCTTTTTCTTTTTTTTTTTTTTTTTTTTTTTCCTTTTTTGAAGAGTGTTGACCTGTTGCCCAGCCTAGAATGCAGTGGTGTGATATTGGCTCACTGTAACATCCACCTCCTGGGTTCAAGCAATTCTCCTGCCTCAGCCTCCCAAGTAACTGGAATTACAGGTGCCCTCCACCATGCCCAGCTAATTTTTGTATTTTTGGTTGAGATGCCATTTCACCATGTTCGCCATGCTGGTCTCGAACTCCTGAACTCAGGTGATCCACCTCCCTCAGCCCCCCAAAGCGCTGGGATTACAGGTGTGAGCCACCACACCTGGCTATTTATTTCTCAACTGAATTTCTGTTTGAATTGAAACAACATAAAATCCTAATTTCGATAACATTATTTACATTTTTTACGTTAGTTGCTAGAACACGATGCGAGAAGACAGCGTTTCCTCAACCTGACCCGGCAGTGGTGTGGCATGTAGCATTCTGGACAGCATTGGGAGTGGGGATTTGGGGGCGTGTGAGCCCCCAGGCTGGCTCAGCAGTGCGGTCTGGGCCTTTTCCCAGAGGCTTCTTAGCCCCAAGCCTGATTGTCCACCCCAGTCTCCTCAACAGTGAGAGGCACACTGTCCTGCTGTGTAGAGAATTTTAGTTCTTCTGTCTCCTGGCACATATTTTCAGGAGCTGGATAGCTCCCAGGTCCCATCCCCTGTCTCAGAAATGACTTCTCAAGTCATACCCTGCCACAGCATTTTGTTAGCCTGTTTTGTTGTTGTTCTTTATTTGTTTTGAGATAGGGTTCCACTCTTCTTGCCCAGGCTGACGTGCAGTGGCACAACCTCGGCTCACTGCAACCTCCGCCCTCCGGATTCAAGCAATTCTCCTGCCTCAGCCTCCCGAGTAGCTGGGATTACAGGCATGTGCCACCACGCCTGGGTAATTTTTGTATTTTTAGTAGAGATGGGCATCCACCATGCCCAGCCTACTGTCGGCATATTTGCTGTGGTTGAGTATCTGTTCAGATGTTTAGCCAGTTTTAAAATCACGTATGTATTTTGTAAATATCTTCTCACGTCTGTCTTGTCTTTTTGTTCTCTGAATACAGTTTTTCACAGTAGAATACTTAGTTTATAAAGCCTGTTATCAATATTTTCATGAATTGGCGTTTAATGTTGTGTGTTAAAACTCAACACCAAACTCATCGTCACATAGAGTTTCTTAGATTTTTTATAGTTTTGCATTTCAAATTACAGTCTCTGCACTATTTTGAGTAGGTTTTTGTTTTTCTTATTTTGCGTATATATTCATTTCATTCTACGCGGCTTCCAAATTCTTCCATCACCATTTTGGTAAGGATATGGCTACAGTGGTCTTCATTTTGGTTTGAATTTCCAAAATTATTACACTGAATAAACTCAATATTGAATTTTGTAGGTATTTCAGGACAGGCGCGGGGGCGGGGGTGAATGCCGAGAAACTGAGCAAGAGCGTCTGTGCTGAGCTCTGGCGCCACCAGAGGGCGCGCGAACCCACTCCTCACCAACTTTCCTCTGAGGTGCCAGAAGCAGCGAGGAGCTTCGGCTTTCTCAGGGCAGCAGGAGGGTCGTGTCAACTAGGTGTTGTTCATTGGTGAGTAAACAACTTCTTTTCCATGGCCCTGAGTGCAGAGAAGAGAGTCTTTAGAGTACTCAGCAAAGGAAGAAATTCACCTAGAAAAATGAAATCCCCAAATCCCATCCTTATGACTATACCCTGATGTCATTGTCAACATCCCAGACACAGTGGCTGCTAAGATATGTTCTCACAATGACCTCTACTATAATAATCACACCGTGCCTTAACACCAATATAATATCCGCACCATACTCTAACGCTAATCTGATATCCACACTGTTGCTTCTAATACTAATGTAATACTATCCACACGGTGCCCTGATGCTAATGTAATATCTGCACTGTTCTCCAATACCAATATAATATGTACACCATGCCCTAACACTAATATCCACACCGTGCCGTAACACTAATGTATCCACACAGTAGTCTCTAATACTAATAAGTATAATAATATCTACTAAGTGGAGTCTGTTGACATTGAGGCTTTTATAAGCATTCACAGCTTTGGATGAAGCGTAGCCTCTATAGTGGATTTTGGTGATGTCTCTGCTTTTCTGGCATAGTATGGATATAGTTGTTTTAAAAAGTAATTTACTTTTTAATAATGTCATACTTCTAGGGAGCTTCCAGTAGCAGTGCAAAATATAACCTGTTTCTTTTCTTAGAGTCCCCAGCAGTTATTGCTGAAGCAGATTTGCAGCTTCCCACAAAGTACTCCAGCATATTTTACCCAAATCACGGACACTCTCCCAGGTTACCACCATAGAACCCCTAGATCAGGAAATCAGCATGGTTCCTACGTGATAATTCAGTTCACAAACTCATTTCACTTTTACCTCCTGCCCCACCTGGGAGTATAATGTGTTTTTTCCTTCTGATCCAGTTTGCCTGGCACTGTTCCCAAGACTTTCCTGCATATTTATGATCTTGACACATTTAAAGAGCATACAAGTTTTTGTTTAAACACCGGTTTTCAGGTCTTTGGGGTACATACCTAGGAATGGAATCACTGTCATACGGCAAATCTATTTGTAACCATTTGAAGAAACTCCAAACTATTTGACACATATGCTGCACCATTTCATATTGTCACAGCAGTGTTTAATAGTTCGAG